GGAGAACATGATTCATCTGTGGTTATTTTGCGCCCTGGCTGATGAAATAGCAATGTGGTGGAAGACTCGTTGGGCTAGAATAGTGGGAGGAAGGTTTGAGTGGTCGAATTTCTGGATGCTTACTGGCATACTCCCTCCAGGATCCAACTACTCCTCCCACTGGGGCTACGTGGCCCTTTGCTGCAGAGGCGTTCTGATGGAAACCATCTGGCCTGCTAGGAACTCCAGAGTGTTCAGAGGAGAAGAAGTGGTGAAAAGGCACCAGCAACTTCAGAGTAAACAGAGTATCAGGAGGATTATCCGAGCGGATTGGCACCACAAAAATGTTATCTGGTTCCAGAAGACCCGGGCCCAAGACAACAGGCTTTGAACAATCACCCAGGAGGGCCATTTCACATTCTGTACTTGGCTGTTTGATACACACGACTACGCTACATGTAGTAGGGCCGTGATTAGGCCCGAACATAGAGGTCGTGTGATCTCCCCCCTGTGCTTTGTTGAAGATCCTTTGTTGTGCTTTGCCTCTTGAGTCTTTACGAGGAAGGATGGCCAGCCCTCAACTTTTTACCGTGCTTCAAGGTCGAGTTTTTGGATGAAATTTACGGATAGGAAGGTCAGGGGATACTGGGTTACTTACCCAACTTTATATCGTAGAGCTTTAAAGACGTTCTTCCTTAAGCCACCAGTACTTGGCCCAGCTATCGATGCCAAGCCTGAAAACGGGCTGCGCGCCGTTTCGCGCCGACCCACCAGCGCAACAAAAAAAAATTGTTTTGGCTGGCAGCGCCAGCTTTTGAGGGCCGGTACCCTGAGCCTCCGGAAATTGCGGGGCGTACCGGTGGTTTAAAGAATTAGGAGGCTAAGGGACACGGGACCCTGTTTCCAGATCACCTCAAGCTGGGCCAAGGGCCAAACTTTTCTCCGGGTCGTTTGTGAGGATTCCCGGCCTCGACCTTCTCATACAAACGAGATGATGAGCTTCTCCCCTCCCCCCCCAAAAGAAAAGAAAGAAAGAAAAAAGAAAGAAAGTTCTATTCTTTTCTCGCTTCCTTGCATTCCCCCCCCTAAGCTGCCCATTGGGTTCATGGAAGGACATCTCCTCATTGACGAAATGGTTATTCGTTATTTTCTTCTCTGGCCTCGTAAACTACATGTAGCTACTACACTGACGGCGCCGTCGAGCGGCCATCAGGTGTGGTCGCTTTTTCTGGACAACTATCTATCCTTTTATCGATCTGCACTGCATGTGTCATAATTCTGTTTTTTTTGTTTTTTTTTGTTAGAATGCATGCGTCATTCTTGCATACGGCCCACAGCGATCTTCAGCCTCGCTGCACTACTCTCGAAATGTGCAAAATGAATCCTCCCCTAGAACATGGAGGGATGCATTGCCATCTTTTTTGTCTTTTGTGCATCTGGCGAGAAGTGCAGCCTGGCCCCTTCTCTCCGTATTGTTGCAACTGTTCGTCATCAGACAGACGCACTCTGAGCACGGCTTAAAAAAAAAAAAAAAAAAAAAAAAAAAAAAAACCTGGCACACATTCCCACCCCTGGGCCATAACAACCCGGTCACCAGGAAAAGGATTCTCATGCTGTTATTGAGATAATGATATGATCCACATTGAGCGATTGTGTGACAGGCAGTCGGTGCAGCTCACAGCTGCAAATCAGTCAAGCACGGGAAAATATCTTGAATGGGGCGACTACCATTAGGGTGAAAATGTAGGTGAAATTCCTGCTCAAGTTCCGGAATGGGGAGAGTTGGAGACTAGCCAAAATGGGACACACGATCTGCACGTGGACGTGGTTAGGCTCAGGTGCAGCCGATCAGGCAAGTCCTTTTGCCCTTTCGAGAATGGACAGGCTATTTCTGTCCTTATCCTCCTACTGGAGGGGACAGGACTTTAAAAAGTCCTGATCTGTTCTTTGAGGGCGTGCTCACATCAGGGGCATTATCCTGGATGTATCTGACTGGAATTACAGCCTGACCGGGATGCATCTGACTGCAGTTACGTCCAGAGGTCACTTGAAGAAGTCCTAGTGTGAGTCTGCACTGAATGTAGCATTCAGCCGCAAGTCAGGTAAAAGAGATCATTTTCAAAAAGTATGAATAGGCACAAAAAAAAAAAAAAAACGTAGTGTGTGGATGAACACAACCAGAAATACCCCTTCTGTGCTGGAAAGGACACACTTAACTCTGTCAGAAAAGATCCGGGGTCTCTCCTCAATGAGCTGTAAATCATGCACTTGGTCTTCCTCCCATCCAGGTACATTCAGATGGTGGCCTCTTGGCAGTGAGGTGCAAATAATGCACTTGGACATTTTCTCTTCCAGGTACCCTCAGATGGGGCCAGCTTTGCATTTGCAAATCTCAGCAGGGAGTTTATTACTTTCCTTCCTTTTTTTCTATTTTTCCCTTTTTTTCTTTTTCTTTTTTTTTCCCCCTAAACTAAGCTATATTCTTCTCTTGAGTATCCCTTACACTACCTACCCACATCTACCAAGCAGGGGCTTGCCAGAGCCACTTCTGCCAAGCAGGGGCAACCAATTGTCTACCGACCATATGAACTAGGCAATTGGCCCTCTTTTTCCTTTTGTTTTGTTTCTACCATTTTTTTATTTTATTTTTTTATTTTATTTTTTGTTTTGTTTTGTCTTGTTTTGTTTTGTTTCTACCACTTTCTGTAACCTGCAACTTGTGATTTTTGTTGAAACTTGAAACTCTTTTTGTTTTTTTTTTTCGGTTTTTGTTCTTTTTGGGACAATGCTCCAATCTATTCGTGGGGACCTGTGCTGGGAACCGGGCCCAGCGTCCCATTAGGAACATAATATTGGAGAACATACACGGGGGGGCCATTACCCGGCTTCGGCTAAGAATAGGATCATGAGCAATTTGTACTATTTTCTAGCCTATTAGACAAAAGACCTCATGAGATAGGCTAAAATTCAGAAAAAGTCTGAAGAAGCTTGAAAAACTATGAGACCGGAAGGTCAAAACTGAACCCACCTGCTATCCAAACCTCCCCCCCTCAAAAGCCGAAACGTCGGTCCAGTCTTTCAGTCCTCCTACCAGAACTCTTTTTTTTTTTTGTTGAACTCAATTGATCTCATACGCCCTTCTGCTAGGTAACAGGGCACCACAACCTTCCACAGTACTGAGCAACCTAGTTCTGACGGACATGAAGTGCCTCCCTCCCTCGACATCTCCTTTGGCCGCAAGCCCCTGACACCAGGTTACAGGGTTAATACCCCAGCGCCGGCTACGTCGGACGGTCTGGTCAGTGGTTATGCCTTCCACCCTCGGCATAACTCCACAGGCCTCAAGCTCCCCCTAGGTCACAGAGCAAAAACTCTAGCACCGGCCTGTGTCGTCCCAGCATCGTGCTTCTAGCCTACTTACCTTAACAAACGATCCCTCCCCTGTTGAGTGCCCCCTTACTACCTCCCATCCTTCAGTTCTAGCTCCCCCCCTTTCCCTCACGAACTCCAACCATAGGCTTTTTTTTTTTTTTTTTAACACATTTGAAATTCTGTGACCATTACCCGGCTTCGGCAGTAGATTACCAAACCTGCGTTGAAACTTGAAACTCAGTTTTTCAGCAGCCTGCATATTTTCAGGTCTGCTTGCTCTCTGCTGAAACCAAGTTTTTCTGCAGCCTGCTGCTCCACGGTAATCCTGCCTGGAATTTCAGGTCTGTTTGCTGTCCGCTGAGGCACCGTCTATCGGTGGGGACCACCACCCGCTGTTTTTTTATTTTTTTTTATTTTTTATTTTTTTGCTTTAAAAAAAAAAAGAAGAAGAAAGCTTCCTGTCCCGATGACCCTGCTTCTTAAACCACCAGTACCTCGCCCTGCTTGAGAAATCCGGCGTGGCCATTAACGCGCCGCGTCGGGCGGGGTACCCACCGACCGGCGACCGGTAGACCCAAAAAAACGAGCGCTAAAAAAAAAAAAAAAAAA